GGCCTCTGGCGGGCGGCGGGTTCCCCGACAGCGCGCGGGGGGGGGGCGTCAACAAGGGCCGTCTGTGTTGCCACGGGGAGGGGCGCTTTGAAAGGGGTGTGTGTGTGGCCACCCTGAACATTTTTGTGAATAAAAAGGGGGCAGGCAGATCGGCTTCACCTAAACAGGGAAGAGATGGATCGAGTGGTTCTCCTACAAATCAATGACGTCCTTCCCAGGCAGGCCTCCTCTGCTTTGGCCTTTGGTTTCTTGCTGCCTCATGGCGCGGGGGTGGGTGGGGGTGCCTGCCCTGCCCGCCGGCCCTGCCCGACTTTTCTGCTCCCATTAAAAGTCTGCAGGATGGCCTTGTTGCCTGTTGCTGTTGATAGGGAATACCTGCTGTGAATGATTTGCTTTCCCTCCCCAAAGAGGCTTAAGATGACGCTGAGAACCTAAGCAGGGCTGTGCTGGAGGAGACCAAACATCCGCCTAGCCCACATCCCACAATGGTCAGCCCGATCAGGGTCCATTTTGCTTTGGGTGCGTGCAACACACCCTCTCCCAAAGTGGGACCCTGGGGCACTCCCCGCCTTGTTTCCCAAGAGTGGGTTTGCAGGAACATCTACCGGTGACGTGACCCTGGACAGCCACCTGTGGGTTTCCTGCTTTGCAATGGGTTTGAACTCCAGGGCTTTTGAGGGTCTGCAGGTCAGTGGTTCCTTGGGAGACCACCACATCCAAACATGGCCCTCCCTGGGAACCAGGAGCCCAAAGATCCTTCGCACAATTTGTCTGGATCTTCACAGCCCAGAAGAAGAAGAGGAGGAGGAGGAGGAGAAAACCATTGCACTGGATCAGTGCCCTGTTGCCTGCCCTTTACTTCTCTTTGCTCTGTAGGCCTCACAGTCGTCTAAGCAAGGCACAAGGGAACAGGCCCCAGGCAGGGGTACAGAAGCTTCTTCCTTGCACTAATACACAGGGAAAAGAAATGAATGAATGATGTTTACTACTTCCAAGAATAGTTTTCATTCTATGAGTATATATATAGCAGGATTCAGTGAAAGTTCAGCTGTGGGTTCAAAAAGAAGTGACCAGACCTTTGGAGAACGAGGGAGGGAGTCAGCTGCCTAGACAGGGAGGGTCCCCAAACCTCTCGGCCCGCGGGGGTGGTGATGGAGGAATAAACAGTGGGGTGAGATGGGTGGCATGCCCGCGCCAGTCCTGGCCTTGGTTTCTTGGACAGGGAGAAGCTGGCAGCTGTCACCGAAAGCAGCATCCGGGCAGCTCCCAAAACAGACTTTAGCGAGCCTGGTGCCAAGAACAGGGTGCTCCTTTGTGCTTTGTCTGGCCCTCTGGATCCCTTGCACTGGCCTGTGCTGCGCTGGAGGCCAGGAGCATCCATTGAGGCTGAGAGAGAGAGAGCGCGCGCGCGGGGCTCCTTTTGCCCTCAAGGCAGGAAGCCGGTCTCAATGGGCTCCTTCCAAAGGCTGAGGGCCTCTAGCCTGGAACGCTGGGCTTGTTCTGTTTGGCAAGGGCTGTTTTACACCATGCAGCACTTCACCAGCCCTTCATTTTTTCCCTGTATTCATGCAAGGAGGTAAAGGGGTGGGGTGGGGGGGTGCGTTCATGGGAGAGGACAAGAGGTGGCACGGCGGAGTGGGTGGTGGGTGGGGAGGCTGTTTGGTGTTTGGGGAACAGCTTGAGCTGTTGGCTACTTTCCATTCCCCTTTTGCCCTGACTGGCTCCGTGTGGGCTTCTGTGGCTGCTTTGTGAGGAGAAGCTCGAGGCTCGTCCAAGGCAGGCAGGCCAGTCGCCAAGTGGCTCTGTCAGGCCTGCTCTTGTTGTGCCTCATCCCAGTACATAAAGTAGCTTTTGAAGAGCAACAAACACAATAAGCAAAAGCAGCCATGAGAGGAGAAAATAAAATAAAATGCAGCCTTTTCTCCATCACACACGTAGTATGGCCGCAAGCACACGACTGGCAGTTTGCAGCCCCAGGGCGAGCCCTTGAATAGGAGCCCACAGCCCGCAATGTCATTTTCCTAAAAGGTTACCTCCAAAGAGACCCAAAGGAATGCGCTCGGCCCTCCTGCAAGCCCCCCCCCATGTGATGCCCTCTGGAATCCACAGCACCTGAAGGAGAGTGGCAAAGGGTTAGGGCTGGAAAGAGGGCAGACCATGGCCATCAGCCGCATCTGGAGGAACTCCTGTGCCAGGAAAGGTGGCGCCGAGCGGTGTGTGTGGGGGACATGGGACACGTGCCCCTTCAGATGTTCTTGGGTGGCCGCTCCCAGCGGCCTTAACCAGCACCACCGCCGCGATGGCTGGAGTCCAGGAATGGTAGTCCGTTCTGGTCTGTAATAAAAACCCAAATGCTCCATGTTTGGGGTGTCAGCGTTAAATTGGCAGCATCTGCAATGGTGTATTGGCACTGAGGTAAACAAAGGTCATTATCCCCCAAGGAAATCCAGAGTCAGCCTTAAGGAAACCCCTTTTGCAAAGGGTGCAGATCAGGGCAGTCTGTGTGTGAAATCCACCTCTTGCTATTTGAGGTGGTCTAATTAAGAAAACAAACAAAAGGAGTCAGCCTCAGGCAGTTACCCTGGGGTGCCCCGGGGGAAGGGGTTTGTAGGGGTTCCAGATACGAGGAGGAGGCCATTCTGAGCCACCGCCTTCAAAGCTGCCCTTCAGTAGGAATGGGGTCCCAGCGTGGTTACCTCTTCCTCTGAGTAGTCTCACGAGGCTGGCATGAGAGTCATCCACTTGCCTGGCTGTTCTGCAACATGGAGGCTGAGGAGGAGGAGGTGCAACTGGGCGTGGTGTTGGACAAAACTATTTCCACTCTCTTTGCAGGTCTGCGGACTCTCCATCATCAAAGCAATGAGCTGGATACCATCATCCTAGTAAACCCAGATGAGGCGAGCGCTGTGGCAGAGGTAACGCTCATGGGCAAGATTTCCCATGCGGGGTTCTTTTGCCTGCACATGGCCGTGCTGCCCTGCTCGCAGGGCAAGGGGTGGGTTCGGATGGGAAGCATGGCTGGCATTCCATGCTAGCATTGCTCTAGACTCAGGTTCAAGGTCTGGCACGGCAGGGAGGTTTCGGCCGTGACACTTGTGTAAGATGGTAACATTTAGACCAGCAACTTAAGGTGGTCTCTTTTGTGAACAGGTCCGTTCCTTGATATGTGACCCTTCTGTTCACAAACTGCTCCTTCTGTGTGGGCAGAGCTCTGACCAGGAAGGAGACTTGATCCTGCAGTCTGGGACCTTCACCTACCAGAAGTTTGCCGAGATATTTGCACACCCGGAGGTAAAGGGAGCGGGCAGGTGATCTTGGACTTGAGCAGATGGTAATTGGGTGCATTCATGCCGTGTTAGAGGCCTTCTGCAGGGAGTTCCAGGGCCTGTGCTTGGTTTATGACTTTTGCTGTGAAATCTTTGTTTGTGCTTTCTCCAGCATTTGCCAAGTTTGGGGTCATCTTTGGTGGGGATTGTGGCCAGCACATTTTCACAAATTTTCACGGACACTCAGACTATCACCAGGGCTTTGTAAGACAAGTGCTTTTCAGAGCTCCGGGGTGCCTTTAGGGGTCCTGCAGTTTGAGGCAGGGCACACCCTATTTCCTTGAGGGGCTCATGTCAGACTACCCAGCCTTACTACATACAGAGCATGGCTGCCTCTATATGGAACAAACATTTTGGCTCACAAAATCAGGTTTTGGCCAGCCAGGTAGAACAGTGGCATGCATTTCTGACAGGCATGTTTAAAGTTCAAGATAGTAGTTGGACTGTTGCAGATAATATTTTGTTTGCTTTATTTTGCCAGTGACATTTTGCAAAAAAATTGTGTCAAGTAAATACAGCCTGTTTTTTACCCTTTTAGGTCGCTCAGCTTCTCAGCAATACAGACCCAGCTTCCAAGACTTCCCTCACAGTGTCGTGTGTAGGAGAAGGAGAGTGGAGTAATCTTGGACACCCTCGCTTCCAAGATCTTCTCAATCTGAGATTGAACCCTGACCCTGTCCTGCCAGAGATGGACGGGGTCTCTGAATTTGCAGAGTATGTCTCTGAGACCGTGGATGTTCCCTCACCCTTTGACCTTCTGGAGCCCCCAACCTCAGGGGGCTTCCTCAAGCTCTCCAAGCCTTGTTGCTACATATTCCCAGGAGGGAGGGGAGATTCCGCTCTCTTTGCTGTCAACGGCTTCAACATCCTGGTAGATGGTGGCTCAGAGAGGAAGTCCTGCTTCTGGAAACTGGTCCGACATCTGGACCGGATTGACTCCATCCTCCTGACCCACATTGGAGCAGACAACCTTCCAGGGATCAACGGGCTTCTGCAACGGAAGGTGGCAGAGCAGGACGAAGAGCAGTCCCAGGGCTCCACCAATTACAGTGACTGGATGAAGAACCTCATTTCCCCTGAACTGGGTGTGGTGTTCTTCAATGTTCCCGAGAAGCTCCGCATGCCGGAGTCCTCCATGAAGGTCAAGAGGAGCATTGAGGAGGCTAGCCTGGCACTGCAGTACCTCAACAAGCTGGGCATCAAGCCAGAGCCCCTCTATCGAGTGGTCAGCAACACCACTGACCCAATCACCCTCTTCCACAAAATGGGGGTTGGGAAGTTGGACATGTATATTTTGAACCCAGTCAAGGAAAGCAAGGAAATGCAGTTTCTCATGCAGAAATGGGCCGGGAACAGCAAAGCAAAGACGGGCATTATCTTGGCCAATGGAAAAGAAGGAGAGATTTCTGTCCCCTACCTAACATCCATCACAGCCTTGGTGGTCTGGCTCCCTGCAAGTCCCACAGAAAAGATAGTAAGGGTTTTGTTTCCAGGAAATGCACCACAGAACAAAATCCTAGAAGGTCTTGAGAAGCTCAAGCACTTGGATTTCTTGAAGTACCCTGTAGCCACCCAGAGAGACATGGTTTCTGGCCTGCCCTCACCTGCCCTGAAGCAAACCAAGATCAAGCAAAGAACAGACAGTAAGGAGAGCCTCAAGTCTTCCCCAAAGCCGTTGGCCGTCAAGGTGGCGGCCTCCGAGGAAACCAAAGCAGAGGCAGCCAAAGAGTCAAAAGGCGAGAAGAGGGTGAAGGAGCATTCCGAAAAGCCCCCCGAGAAGCCTGTGAAAGCTGAAAAGATAAAAACGGACTCTAGCGATGCCCTGAGAGCGGAGAAAAGGAAACTCGCTAAAGACAAGGCTGGCAAGAAACACCTCAAGGAGAAAGTGTCTAAGCTGGAGGAGAAGAGGGACAAGGAGAAGAAAGAGCTCAAAAAGGAGAGGAAGGAGATTAAAAAAGACATCGAGGGGAAGAAAGAAGAGAGGAAGGATTCCAAAAAGGAAGAAAAAAAGAAGGAAGCCAAGCCAGAGCTGAAAAAAATACCCAAAACAGACTTGAAACCTTTCACTCCTGAAGTGAGGAAGACCTTGTACAAGGCCAAGGTTCCGGGCAGGATCAAAACGGAGAAAGTCCGCAGCAAGGCTGACAAGGAGAACAGCCTCGCAGATCAGAAGGTGTCGCCCATGCCGAAGAAGGCTGGCCAGGCCCAGGGGTCCCAGGAGGCCGCCGGGGAGCAGAGAGTTGTCCTCTCCTCCCCTGAGGACCTCACCAAGGATTTTGAGGAGCTCAAGCGGGCAGGAGCCAGGCCTCTGGAAGTGCCTGCTTTGGAGAAGGCTGGAGAAGAAAAGGGCCCGAGGCACCCGGCTGCCCAGGAGACCGGGCCCATGATGACATCCTCTGGGGGAACGGCCAGCCCAGCAGCTGCCCTGGAGGAGGAACCCACTCCCTCCAGAACTGGAGCAGCAGGAACAGGAGAGGCACCGGGTGGCTCCGATGAGGGAGCAGTCAGGGTGGGACCTCCTGAGGGGGAAGAATTTGGGGAACACACCGGAAGAAAGAGGGGAGAGTTTCCTGGACCGGAAATGGGAGAAAAGGAAGGCGGGCGGCGGCTGCCAGCCAGGGTCTCCCTCGATCTGGGGAGGGACCAAGAGATGAAGTGGACCGACCCCCACCAGGACAGGCAGGCTGAAAAGAGAGAAGGTGTGCTGGAGAAGGCAGAGCAGGAAGGGGCAGAAGAGCCCTCTGGGAAGGCAAAGGGCCGGGAGGGCGAGAGGGGAGCCTCGGCTCTCCCCGCCGAAGAGAACAGGAAGGAGCTGAAGGAAGAAAGGGCCGCCCGAAGCAAAGCACCTGGGAAAGGGGGGCCCCCCTTGAAGGAGGAAGAGGAATCCTGCCTGGGAGGCAGCGCCCCCGCCCCCCCAGGAGAACACGTCTCCTACATCCAAGACGAAACCATACCCGGCTACTCAGAGACAGAGCAGACGCTCTCAGATGAGGAGATCCATGACGAGCAGGAGGAGCGGCTGCCCCCGCTTAAGCCAGACGCTGCGCCAGGTGACCTCGCCCTGCCTGACCCAGCCAGGTCCATGGCCACCCTCCACGGGATCCAGGCCGCGATGGTGGCTGAGGCCGGTCAAGGCGATGCGGCCCATGAGCCAGAGACCCTGGCCTACCCCACCCACCTGGTGGCGGCCCCGCTGGCAGAGGAGGAGCACGTCTCCTCGGCCACCTCCATCACCGAGTGCGACAAGCTGTCCTCCTTCGCCACCTCTGTGGCGGAAGACCAGTCGGTGGCCTCCATGACGGCTCCACAGACAGAGGAGACCGGGAAAAGCTCCTTGGTGCTGGACACCGTGAACAGTATCCCCTCCTCGCGAACTGAGGCCACCCAAGGCTTGGACTACGTGCCGTCCGCTGGGACAATTTCTCCCACATCCTCCCTGGAGGAAGACAAAGGCTTTAAGTCTCCACCTCCAGAAGACTTCCAGGCCCAAATAGAAGCTGAGAGGAAACTGGAGGCCTGCAGGAAAGGCATGCAGCAGCAGCAGGAGGAGGAGGAAGACGAGGAGGAGGAGGAGGAGGAGGAGGAAGAGACCCCAAACCTTGAGAGACCTTGGAGAGGCCAAGGCCATTATGAGGCCCCGGTGTTTTCTCAGCAGGGCCCCCCTCTTGGGGACAGCTCCCCCGGAGACGTGAGGGTGGCCATGGGAGCCGCCCAAGAAGCCCTGCTGCTGCTGGAGGAGGGAGCAGCCCAGCGGTCGCAGGGGGAACCCATCTCCGGTGGTGAGGCGGAGGAGCGGTGCCTGAGTCCTGATGACAGCACGGTCAAGATGGCCTCCCCGACTCCCTCGGGTCCCACCAGTGCTGGGCACACCCCTTTCCACCAGTCCCCTGTAGAGGAGACGTCAGACCCTGTGGAGGCAGACCTGTTTGAAAAGGCCGCCGAGGCTCCAGCAGGAGGGAATGGAAAAGAAAGCCCCAGCAGAGCAGAGAGGGCAGTGGCGGTGGCGGCGGAGGAGGAGGAGGAAGAAGCATTCATTCCCAGGGAGGAGAAAGAGCCTTCTGTTCTCCTTCCGGATCAGCCCAGCCCAGGTAGCACGGCTGAGTCTGTGCCTCCCCAGGAGGAAAGCTGGAGCCAGCCTCTGATAGAAGAAGAGCGAGGAAGAAGCGTCTACCACACCCAAGAAACACTGGACATCTCTGACCTGTCCCCTCCCTCCCCCACCGAGACCCCGCAAGAGCCCCGTGGGGGCTTCCTGTCTGAGATCTCCCACGAGTGTGCCAAGAAGGGTGCCGGGTACGAACTGTTTTCTGTTTCCGAAATCCCTCCTCCGAAAGGGTGGGAGGCATTCCCAGACAGCCCCGAAGAGGAGAAACCATCGCAAATACCCACAGAAAGCATTTCATCAAGGGATGAAAAAGTATCTCCTTTTACAGAGGAAATTTCTGGGACGGCAAAATCGTCATATGATCACGCGAAAGAACGGTTCTCAGAAGATGCCCAGACTCTGCCTTTCGTGGAACATGACCGAGGCCACGAGAGGACACCTTCGGTCGCCGACAAAGATCTCTCTCCAGAAGACAGCAAGACACCTCCGAGCTTCAGGAAAGAACCCTCTTCACCCTTGTGCACAGAAGAGATCTCACAGAGAGATGCCAGAGGTGAATTTACAACAGAGAGTCCTGCTGTGAAACTTTCACCAGATGTGTCCACAGACGTCTCTCCTGATGTGATGCCAGGCAGAGAGAACAAACCGGCCACTTTTCTGGCAGAGGATTTGCCTGCTTCCCCTTTGGCCCCCGAACAGGGTCCCTTTCAAGACTGCCACACACCTTGGGTGGCGTCAGCGTCAGAGGCCGACACCTTGCCAGAAAATGGCAGGTCTGTTTCCTTAATGGGAAAAGGCCCTGTCAAGGAATTATCTCCGGGACCGTCTTGCAAAGAAAGCTGCACCAGCAAGGAGCCCGCCAGCTCCCCTGAACTGAGCCCAGTTTTGGATGGGGAGTCCTTCCATGCCTCCTCTGCTGGAGAGACAGAGCTGAGTGCATTTCTGGAAGAGGAACGAAAGAAAGAAGAAAAAGAGGAGGAGGAGGAGGAGGAGGAAGAATCCCCTGAAATGGAAGACATTTATCTCAAAGCCACGGACGATGATAAGAAAGTTTGGTTTTCGGAGGAGATGAAGAAAATACCACAAGAGGAACAGCGACAGAAGTATGACAAGGAAAGGGGAGAATGTACGTTTTTGGATGACGAGATGGAGGAATATGAAAAGAAGTCACTGCTTTCCGTGGCTCAAGAAGAGGACGTTTCCCACTCTGTGGCATCTCGAGATCACAGTTCAGGACTGTCAGAGAAGGAGATTTGGGAGACTGAGTCTAGGCTCCAGCCGGTGGCGGCGGCGGCTGCTCCTCAGAAGCAGGAGGCACCTCCTGAGCATAGCTCTCCCCTTCTGGTGGGGGACAGAGCACAGCAGGTGCCCTCTGTCCAAACCCGGACATTTTCCCAAACAGATGCAGAGCAAACGGTGTGGGAGGCAAAGGAATTCCAAGCCTCCGGGGCTTTAAGGCCCCTCTCTCCAGAGCCTGAATGGGAGCTGCGGCCTGGCCTGGGGCAGGCTGCTTTATCTGCCCCCCACCAAGGGAGAGAAGAGCCTTTGCCGCTCCCTGCAGACATCAAGGAGCTGCTCTCTGGCTCTCGCAGCGAGGAGGCGGCAGCCACTTCTTCTTCCATGGCCCCCTCTTTGGAGAAGGAAAGAGAAGCATCCTTCCAAGACCAGGGAGAGGCTCCAGGCTCAGCCCCAGGTGCACCCAAACTCCTACCAGGAGCCACACGGAGGAGCTCAGACGCTGATGGTGCTCGTGAAGGAAAGCTGGACCTCAAAGAGACACTTGGCAGGGAGCAGGAGGGTGAAGGGACCCTTCACAGCCTGTCTCTCAGTTGCTGCTCAGAGAGGAGTCAGAAGAAGGAAGGGGTGAGTCCATCTGCCGAGTCCGATGGCAGAAGCCCCGCTCACCCGGGGCAAGAACTCAGAGGAAGCGGAGACCGTGGGAGCCCTCCGCTGGATGCCAGCTCTTTCAGCCGCACAGAGAACATCTTGTGGCCCAGCTCCATGTTCTCCTCTGGTTATCCTGAGTTCTGTGAACCAACCAAAGATGAGGAGGAGAGAGGGCAAGAGAGAGAAGAGAGAGAGCCAACCCCCTACCCTCATGACAAGTCCTTCCAGTATGCAGATGTCTATGGAGATGTTCTAACGTCTGGAAGGAGTGCATCGCTCAAGACAGGGAGGGCGCCGAGGCTCCAGGTGGAGTCTCTGTACCCGATCTCCTCAAAGGAAGAGGAATCGTGCCTCTACACGCCAACCGAGAAGGAGCATTCCTCTCCATCTTCTCCCAAAGACCAGGCGGAGGCCTCTTTTCAGTACACGGACATTCATAAACAATGCCCTCTCCAGCCAGAAAAGCACAGCGGGCGACAGGATGAGACGCCCAAGGGTGCAGAGCGTGAGGGGATGGTCTTGAGCCCTTCACCTCTCTTGCAAGACGAGCTGGGGAGCCCTTTGCCAGCCTCCTCTCAGGGAGACAAGGGCCTCGGCTATCTCACAGGCCTCACCGATCCATCCCGCCAGGTGGAAGCAGTTGGCTATATTGAGCACACCCCCCCTTCTGAAGCCAACGTCAGCTTTGAGCGGAGGTTTCCTTCTCCAAAGCACTCCTGGGCCAAGGAGATTTATTATGAGAAAGGGGAAGGGGTGGAAGAGGGTGCCAGTGACTCAGAGCTGGAGAAAGGAGCCAAGGAGACGTCGGAGAAAGAAGTCAAGCCTTCAGAGCTTTCGGCAGCCAGGAAGTTGGACAACAAGAAAGAAACTGACCGCTATACAGACCTTTCACCACCGGAGACGGACCACGAGCGAGCGAGCCAACGGTCCCAAGGCTACAGTGCTTGGCAAGGAGAGGTCTGCCCGGCAGAGAAAACAGCCCTGAAGGCAGCAGACGTCACAGCCTATGGCAGCCTGGCTGAGTCAGGCCAACTGGGCTGGGCCCTGGGCCTGGCCCCCCACATCTCTGGGGGTGCCGAGGGGCCCTGTTCCAAAGAGGAAAGTTCCCTTGGAAAAGATGCAGGAGGCACGGGCTCCCGAGGGCTTGGCTCCCCAGCAGCTGTTAAAGAGAAGGACTACCTGAAGGGCTCCCCGCTTCTAGCCAAAGGGTTGGATTGTTCCTCTTCAGGCTTTGAACTGTCTTCACTGGAAAAGCACGAACCCTCCATTCTGTTCCGGCACGAAGCCCGTTTCTCTTCCCAGCTGCAGCAGCAGCAGCAGGAGAAATCTCTTCCTCCAGCCCTGGCAGAGACAGTTTCACTGCAAAGGGATGAAGGCCAGGGCTACCTAGAGGTGTCCACTGGGGCCTCGAGCCAGGCCTCCTCTCTTGCAGGGTTCTCCCTCCCAGATCCATATGAAGAAGGGGACGCACCCTCTGGGGCGCCCTGGGAACACTCTCGCCCCTCTGAGGAGGCTTTGGCAAAGACCTCCATCTTGGGTGAGAGCATCTGCCCGAGCCTTTTCTCCACCTCCTTGAGAGGAGCAGCTCCTGCAGGGCCTGAGACCCAGAGCAGTTCCTCCGCCAAGAGGCTTTCGGAAGAATCCAGGGAGTCCACAGCCAGCAGTGTCGGGGACAGCAGCCTGCGGCTCCTGCCTTCCCCACCCGCAGCTCGGCACCCGGCACCCAGCTGCACCGTTAGCTGCAAGCCCCAGCCATTGAGTCCTGAAGAGTGGCTGGGAAGCCCTCCTCCGCCTGACGTCCTGGCTGCTTCTCCCCATCGCCCCCAGGAAGCACCTGCTACCGCTAATGGGCCCACAGAGGTGAGCACCAGCCCGGGGGCTTTTCACAGTGTGCCACAAATCACAGAGAAAGCTACTAGGAGACAGGAGGAGGAAGAGGAGGAGGAAGAGGAGGAGGAGGAGGAGGAAGAACAGGAAGAAAAAGAAGAGGAGGAGGAGGAGGACGCCCATGGCAGACAAGGTCGCCCCTCTTCCCTCCTGACGGCTGAGCCCACCTTCCAGCCCTTCTTCCCCAATGCTGGTCAAGGCAGCCGAGCCGAGGATCATGGCGATGCTTCCCATGAGCTGGAATCTAGTGGGGGAGCTCCCTCCGACTATGGGCAGAAGTTCTTGTGTGACCGTCAGCAGCGAAAGGGCGAATTGTCTCCCTCCTTCATCAACCCAAGTCCTCACGATTCCTCCGAAGACAGTGAGCTCTCACAGGCCGAAGGGCGCTCTTCCGTGAAAGGAAGGCCACCTCCCCTTCTGGGCAGCCACAGGCCAGCGACAGCAGGGGGAGAAGAGTCTCCTCCCACCTCGGCCAGTGACTCCGGAACCTCCCAGTCAGACTCCGACGTTCCCCCAGAAACCGAGGAATGCCCTTCCATCACTGCAGATGCAGCCATGGACTCGGATGAAGATGCGGATTTCCTTCCCGTGGACAAAGCGGTGGGTGGCTCCCACCACAGTGGCAGCAACAGCGGTGGCAGCACAAGGTCCAGCCATGACCCACAGCCCCTCTCCCAGGTAGACCCTCATCCCCACCCTCCCCACCCAGACGTCTGCATGATGGACCCTGAGGTGATGCTCAACGAACAGGACTTGAACAGGCTGGATAAGGTGCCCAGGAAGGAGCCAAGGGAGAAGAGCAAAGGGGCCAGGAAGCCACTGGGCAAGCCCAAGACCTCTTCCCCTGCCCAGAAGCTGGACAAAAGTTTGCCCGGCCCAATGAAGCAGCCGTCGGAGAAGTCTCCAAAACCAGCCCCAGCCAAGAGAGAGAAACTCCTCAAGCCCCATGTGGAGGAGAAAGAGGAAGGCTTCCGGAGCGTCCATGCTTACCCTGGCAAGCTCCTGGTCAATGGCACAAAAGCCAGTCTGGGTAAGTTCAGGTGGATGTCTGGTCTGGTCTGGTCTGGCTGGGGTGTGGGTGGGGGTGGGGGTGAGGGTGAGGGTGGGGTGTTGCGAGCTGCTGCTGGGGCTTTGGTCTCAGAACAGCGAGGAATTGGCCGGAGGAAGCCACGTGAGCAGAACCACCCATGTCTCCCGTGCCATCCAGGATGACTCTGAGGATCGGGCTCCTTACGAAGTCCTCTCTTCCATGTTGACTCAGCAAGGGCTTCAGGCTGCCAAGGTGGGCAGGCTCTCCACCCGACACTGGAGGCTCGTAGTCTCCACTGGGCAATTGGCCGGCATCTCTTGGAGCCAAACTCCTCCCAGCCTGTGGAGGGAGGGAGAGGCGGGCCAGCACTTCTGTCCTCAGGGGGAACGCAAACTTATCGGGCATCTTGTCCTTGTCCCTTTGCTACGACCCAACACCAGCCATCAAGTCGAGAGTGAGCCTTAATCACACCTGGCAGCCTCCCTCACCTGAGCCTTAGCCCTAATCCCTCCCACTTTGGGCACCCAAAGTCCTTTCATAGGTAACAGTGGAGAGGGGCCTTTCCACCTCTGTTGAGGGAGGACTCCAGACAAGCCAAAAGCTTCAGGGTCAACCGCCTCCTCCTCTCTCCCCAGGTCCCGCCAACCTCAACCCCAAAAGTTCCTCCACGGTGCCTCCCGGACCCCCTGTCTACGTGGACCTGGCTTACATCCCCAACCACTGCAGCGGCAAGAACACGGACCAAGAGTTCTTCAAGAGGGTCCGAGCTGCCTACTATGTCGTGAGCGGGAACGATCCTGGCAGCGGGGAGCCCAGCCGGGCTGTCCTGGATGCCCTGTTGGAAGGGAAAGCCCAGTGGGGAGAGAACCTCCAGGTGAGTGCCCGCCAAGCAACCCTTGGGTGCCCCACTGCCTGCTGCCTGCCTGCGGTCAGGGAAGGAGGGAGCGAGGGAGGGCAGCCTGCGAGAGGTAGCCTGGTTCTGACCCCTTCCTTTGGAGAGGGCAGCTTCCCTGAGAAGAAAATAGAGGGAGCCCCACTGTGTTCCCTTGGCCCCTTGGGAGAGAGCCCTGGGGTGTGCACAGGGCACACATGTACATGCGTGCATTGGGTCCCTTCTCTCACTTGGCCCGTGTGAGTCAAAACTGGCCCTGCCACATGGAGGACATCTCAGGAAATGGATGACACTGTGGCAGCCTTTGCCTCCTTCATGCGCTCCCCCCCTCCACGATCTACTTTCCAGCAGAGTCCTGAAGGGAAGCCCCCTTCTGCCTTTCCCGAGTCAGGCTGCATGCTGAACTTTGCAAGGAGAAAGGGTCTGCTCCTGCCTGATTTCCAGCTGCTGTTAGGACCTGAAACCTGCAATACCAGCACCCCCGCCTGCCCTACGCTTCCAGTTTGACTCCCTTTGTGCCACCTGCCAGCCAGATGAACTAGAAGGCCCGGGGAGGTGTACGCGCATGTGAAAATAGAGAAAAAAGAATCAAATATTAACTGGAGGGGAAGGCCTGCCTAAACATCCATGTTTTTAATTGGTTTTTAAAAATACCCAGCGAAGGGGCCGCGCGAATCTCCGGTAGCAGATTATTCCAGAGGCGAGGAGCCACTGCCGAGAAGGCCCGGTCTCTTTTTTTCCTTCTGGGCCTCCCTCGGTGTCAAGCTCCTCAGCTTCACCTCCTGACTCTCTCAAGTGATATGGCTAGAATGTATCCTGCGTCCTTCCCCATCCTGTCTTTCTAGGTGACTTTGATCCCCACCCATGACACCGAGGTGACTCGGGAATGGTACCAACAGACACATGAGAAGCAGCAGGAGCTGAGCATCATGGTCTTGGCCAGCAGCAGCACCGTGGTGATGCAGGATGAGTCCTTCCCGGCCTGCAAGATTGAATTTTGAGCCCCAGCTTCTCACCAGCGCGCTTCTCCATCCACTTCCTCCGACTGTCATGCCACCCTTGAGGTGCCTCCCGCTCACTGCTCCCTTCTTCTGTTCTGCTGAAGGCGATCCAGACTTTCCGATGCCACTCCATCTGCCTACAGTTCTTGCTTTCTGGGATGCCCAGGGCCCGACCAGGATGTCTGCACGGGTGCAGAGTGTGTGTGGGGGGGAACCTCCTGGGGCTGGTATGCTTCCCAAGGCTTCTTCTGCTGCCGCCTCTGTTCTTGCTGTTGGGTCATTTGGCTGCCTTGATGTTGCTTGCGTGGCTCCCTCCCTCTCCTCCCTGCCACCCGGATGGCTGCTGTGCCGGATCAAGGCCACAGAACTTCGTCTGACCTCAGGTGGAAACAAGGCTCAAGACAAAATTAGAAAGCGGGCCGAGAAGGCGAGGCGAGAGCAGCCCCACGGCCATTTCTCACCGCATGTAGTACGTAGGGGTTGGGCCAGGAGGGCCGTGCTGGCTACTTGCACAGCAGCAGCATGGCTACCAGGCAGCTTGGTCCAGGCCCTGTGCAGGAACAGCCCCCGGGGTGGAAGAGGGAAGGGGCAGCCTGTGAGCCAAAGAGCGAATGACTGGACATCCCTGGAAGGGCGCAACGCTGAGCCCTGGGACGGACAGGCTGTCACCCTCCCCAAGAACCGTTTCCTAGGAGCCCGTTGAAGGCCAGCCCAGGTGGTGGGCAGGGGAACCTCCTTCCCATTGGGGATGGGGGGGGCTCCCATGCCTGCCAGGGAATCTGCTCCTTGGGCATCTGGGGGTCCCAAGAATTGCAAGCAGGGAACGGCCCCCCCAGGCCCCCCCGCCTGCCGCGCTCGGTGTGCTTACTTCTAAGCCCGGGGCTGGGGAGTGTTTTGCTGCTTGGCCAGCAGCCCACTCTCCCGTGTGGTCAGATTTAAGCAGGCTTTGAAAAAGTTCACCCCATCCCATGGGGTCACGCGGCCGCTCTCTGCCCCCCTAGCTGGCCATGATTCGCAACTGCCTAATACATGCAGGGCTGGGGGGGGGCAAGAGGGGTGGGAGAAATGCTACGGAACCTCCACGATTCTTCTCAGTGTTGTCTCTAATTTATAACCTTATTTATTTTAGGTCTATTTTTATTTGGTGTAACTGATATTTCTGTGTTTATTGTTATTGTTGGTATTTAGTGTGCATGTTTTTAAAACATGTGGTCTGTGTGTGCCCTAAGAGCAGCTGGCAGATGCCCTCTTGGGGGGGTCTCCATCCTGCAAAGGGTCAAAGCAAAGAATCCCCTTCCTGATCTCCACCCAGCATTTGGGCGTGGTTGGGGGGGGGTGGAACAGGGGCTCAATTTTCTGCCTCTCCATCACACAGAAAGAGGCCAGAAACCCCCCACCCCCACCCCCACCCCGTTCCCTCTTGGTGGATCAGCTGCCCTGTCTCCAGACCTGCACAAGGGGCAGAGAGTGCCCCAGTCTGGGCAAGCCGGCAAACCAGTGCACTAAACCCACCTATGAATGTGTCTGTCTTAAAACTTGAAGCTCGGAGCAGACTAGATGGAGCCCCATTGCTCGCTCCTGGCCGACTCTGGCGGAGAGTCTGCTCCCTTCCATGCAACCCCCTTTCTGAACCACGGGGTTTCCCCGGCTGCACACTAGCCAGAGTTTTCCCCAAGTCAGCCTGATGGTCACGCCAATCTTTTTTGTAGTTTCAAGGCTGGCTTTAGCATCCCTTTTACATTTTCTGGCAAACCCTGTCATGATGACCCTTTCGAATGTCAGCCCATGCGGGGCAGGGCAGGGCAGGGCAGGGGGGATACCGCTGGTGCCCGACTGTTTGCTGGGATGAACAGACAGACATTTAAACACTACTTTCGCTTATTCCTGCATGAGACCACGGACGTGTGATTAGGCCTGTATATAGGAGCCCTTTGGAGCAACAGCAAATATGCCCCCCACCCCCCTTGTCCCAAAACAGCTTTCTCCTCTGCTGAATCTTGTATAAACAGAGCCCCGTTCTCTCCCCTTTTCCCCATCATGTATAATTCAGCCCTGGATGCCCCCGTCCTGCCCTCCTTTCTGTGTGCAACGCTCTGTAATTCTAATGACTGTAAAGAGAGGGACCTGCACTAACCGCCAATAAAGCCGTCGCTGCCACCCTGACTGTGCCAGACTGAGCCACCCACCGAGACAGCTGCTAGGGAGGGTGCTGGGGGGGGCTCTTGCACCCTGGGGAGGGTCAGGGAGGGTTGGGCTAGTGGGCGGGTCCGGAGGGCAGGGGTCCTGCCCGCCCCACATTCCTGCCCCTAGACTTCGCAGGCTAGGCACCCTTGCCCTGGCAGGAAAAGGACTCCAATGGCTGAGGGTTCGAGACCTTTGCCAGAGAACCGCTGAGATGGGAAGTAAAAGAGATGCCACGGTTGGGCCAACCTGGGAGCGCGGGTGGAGGCAGCCGGGGAGCAACCGCAGCGCAGCTTCACCTTCCCTTTAGCTCCGAGGGGGCACCTCTTCCTCAGGCTTCACTTTGCCCTAAAGGGGAAGGGGCTTGGAGGGGAGGGGAACTCCGGTGGACCAAGAGCCACACAGCATCCGTCTGTCCCTCCCTCCGTCTGTGGCACTTGGCAGCCGGCGGCACCATCCGTTTTGCCAAGGTAGCCATGCAACAGACAGGGCCAGCCCCAGAGGGAAAGGGAAGAAAGGTGCCTTTGCCACCCCTGCCTCCTGCAACTGGTGCCGCTGGGCGGGGGGTGGAGGGCGCACACACATCCATGTCCGATTCTAAGCTTCTCCCGACAACGTCTCTTGCTCTGGATCAGCTGCTCTTGCTGGGTGGCCTTGACCTTCGGCAGAATGTCCACTAGCGTCCCCTTCAGCCCACGCACCCACGAAGTGGCTCGTCCACCTATTAGTAAAACCTGCGACCGCAGGACAGAGCGTTGGAGGGGGGGAAGCGGCTGCACGAGGGGCCGAGCCCTCCCGCAAAGACCTGCCAGGCCAGCAGCCCTGCTGGGCAATAAAGAAGCGGTGATGGGGCACAGAGCGCACCCTCACACATCAACAACAAGAAGCGGCTTCCTGCTCCTCCCTTTAAGCACGGGCATTCCCAAAGAACATTTTGAAAGAAACAGACCATAGTGCAGACTTTTAAAAGGCAGCACTTATGGCCGCTGGATTAACCAAATGAAGAAAACCTTTAGTCTTAGAAATTGCAGTTATCCAGGGGAGGCTAAGATCCAAGAACTGCCCTCGCCAGGCAATAACGATGCTGAGGTGTCAGTCCTTGGAAACAACTGCTGGTTACCGCTGGCAGGTCACCAAGTCTGCTAAGAAGTGCTGTGAAGACATGGCTCTCATGCTGAGGACGCAAGGCGTGACGGGCTTGGTGCTGGGGGCCCGTCCTGTAGCATCACTCGGAGCCACCGTGTAGGAGAGGCCCTGTCTCGGGAGCCCTCCAGGACGAAGAAAGAGCCCCTTCTCTGCCCCCTCCTCCACCCCAGGGTGGCCCCCCACCTCCCACCCGTCTAGGCAGAGGTCCCTTCCCAAAGGAGCTTCAGATCATCTTGGTTCCTCCACCTTCCCCTTCCGTTCCCTGTGAGAGACCCACTGGGCTCCGTGCCCGAGGCAGCGGCTGCCCAGCCTTCACCTGCACGCACAGGGCCGTCGCTCCACTCCTCACCCTGACCCCACCGCAGCCCACCTGTCTTTTTTCATGACTCGCGTCCCGCAGGCAGCTTTGCAATCCCCCTGCTGCCAACGAGGCGTTTTTGGGGAAGGGACCTGGGGCTCCCTGAACCCTTCTTCCACCGAGGAAAGGAAGGCCTAGGAACTGCCCCCTGACTTCTCTGACCAGCAGTGCCCAGAGGAGGCCTCTGGGAGGCGCCTGTGCAGAGCCGAAGAACGCCAGCACCGGGATGCGAAGGGCCCTTCACTTCTACAGCCTTGCCAGTTCTGCTGAAATGATGGGCCTCTGCCAGTTTAGTCAAAACTCATTGGCCAGTAGTGCCCCCCTCCATTAGGCCCTTTTGAAAAAAATCAGCGCCTACTAAGCCTCACTGAGAGACCGGGGTGGGGGTGGGATTACATGACCCTGAGGCTTTGGCCTTCCACCCTTTGGAAAGCAGGCCAAGCAACAGGGCCCCCTTCCCACCTGCCCTCTGCCCCAAGGAGCTTCTCTCCCTCCCTCCCTCCCTCCCACAGCCCTCCAGGGCTCCTCCTTGCTTGTCTCCCAAGTGCTGCCAGAAAGAGTTTCCATCTCCAAAGGCGCAAACCACACCCCACACTCTTGGCAAGGGATTTTCATGCGGGTGACGGTGGTCCAGGAGCTAATTCTTGCCGATGTGAGAAGGATGCCTGACAGGGATCTGCTCTGCCACCCAAATATTCAGGGAAAAGGTGGTCTTCTCAGCACCCGCCTCAGGCAACACCCCAAAGAGAAAGGCGCTCTCCCTCCCTCCCCGACCATCCCACGCACAGCTGGACTGAATGCTGGACCCAGAGAAAAACGGTCAAACTGGCTCCCTGTGTGGCAGCTTTTACTACACCAAGAATACGCAGCACAAGAAAATCGCCTGCACGCACACATGCAGAGGGAATAGTTTCACAGGTCATGATCGACAAAGCTTCAGACACACCCCTGCCATGAAGGGAGGGGCGAAGAGGTACACCTGGACACACAGCCCCCCCTCTGCTGGTGATATATATTAACAATATATATATAATAAATATATTATATATATTTGCTCTGTACTGTACACCATTTGGCATCTCTTCCATGTGTTCCTAAGAAAACCTGATTTCTCTAAGCAGCATTTCCATCTTGACCACTGCTAGCAGAGCGAAGATTGAGAAGGAGCCTCTAGCCAGGAAGCTCTTCTCTCTTTCTCTCTCTCTCTTCCTCTCACTCTTTCTGACACACGCACGCATGCACGCATGCACGCACGCACGCACATGGGGGAGGAGTGCTTTCCCACCACAACCTGAGCCTGTGACTGGAGAGTCACTTTGCACACCCATAGCTCCGCAGCCACAGCTGCAGGAAGA